TGATGAACTAATTATTAGGAATGCTAGGAATTGTATGAACTCGTAATTAGGGAGAAGCCTTCTTGAAAGGTACTTTAGAGAGTGGCATTAACAATGATGATTTGAATGTTGAATTCCTAAAATATATGAGAGTGGATAAGATGAAATTGACCCCCAACAACATATTCATACATATATTTCATTGAAAGTGTTTATCTTTTGCTTTTGCCATTGATCAAAACCTCAAATATTTTCGTCTTTTGCATATAAAAATCCAAATATTTCGTCCTTAAGTCTTAGCTAATCAACAAACCATACAACTAAACTAGGCCGTGAGTCCTTTGGGAAGAACGATACTTGGTCTTACCAAGTTTATTACTTGAACGATTCGGTCATACTTGCCGATTGTAAAACAAGTTTGTGACATCATATTTTGGTGATCATAAATTTGTTCATCAGCAACACAAAGAAGCTGGTGCTCAGTGCCCTTGATGGGGCTCCCAAGCGTGGAGCGACACTTGAAGGCTGGCGCTCAGCGCCCTTAATGGGGCACCTAGGCGGTGATGCATGACATACTGCGCTGAGGGCCTTTAAAGGGGAAACCAGGCGCCCTATGACCTTCTTCAGCCTTCTTCTCTGGTACTTTATCTGTCCCTCTTGAGTTCCAACTCCTTGATACTTTTGCTCTTCTTTCAAATCATATTAATAACCTACAAAATTAACGGAATTTAGTGATAAAATCATTAAGTATACCCTCTACTCTCTTATTCCCAAAACTAAACTAAAAATATGAGTTCAAGCAAGCTTTTAAGTCAAAAAGAGTTGATTTAATATCAAAATTGCATCAAAGATAACAGTATTTTCAACCGTTATCATTAGGTCCACCTCATATTAAATCTAGTCAAGCATACCTTTATCCATGTCATGTTTAGCTAACCACGAACTAAGCCAAATTGGCCCAATTTTGGGCCAGGTCAAGTTTGACCCAATGTTGGACCAAGTCAAGTTATATCCATGTTAGGTCGAATAGAGTCAGACTACATTGGATTGAGTTGCTCAGGTCAATGTTTGACTGAGTCTAGTTGGTCTCACATAGGTCGAGTTGATTCGGTCCACCTCATGTCGAGTTGATTCGGTCCACCTCATGTCGAGTTGAGTCTGGTCAACGTTGAACTGAGTTGAGTTAGACCACGTTGGGTTGATGTCAGACCTAGTTAAGATTATGTAATGCTAATTCAAGTTGAGACAAAGTTGGCCTAGTTCAAACCCACACATCAAACAATGACAGGTTTAGCCAAACTTAAGTTGGGTTGATTTGGTCCAGTGTGACAAGTCAGATTGAGCCCTAACTTTCTTATTAAATTATAAAAGGTAAAAATTAAATAAGAATCAGAATATAATTAATGTAAAAAATTTGTAAATCAATTTACAATTTAAAATATTTCAAAGACATATACTATCGTGAAAAATATTTAAGAGTAATGTCTTATCAGATTCAAAGACACTTTAACTCTAATCTTAACTCACTTTAAAATGGAGTTTTGAAATTCAAATGGACCATTCATCCAGTGAACCAATTGAAAGAATGACTTATAAGTGTAGGTTAAGATTGAATCATGATCTAGGGACAAATTGATACCTCTGTACAAGTATGTCAAAACTAAAGAAAAAATATAATATAGATTATAAATTTTTAGATTAAAAAAAAATAAGTTATTTTATTGAAAGAACTTTTACACTTTAATATTTTCTCAAACTAAAATTGTAAATGATTTTTTATCTAAAAATATCGAAATATAAAAAAATCTCTATTATATATTTCTAAGAGTAATAATTGGCACCATGACATACTTTTACATTCATTTAACACACAATACAATGGTAAAATAGTCCTAAAAGTGTAATTTTTTCAAGAAAAAATAGAGTAGAAAGTAAGAAAGAGTAGTGTCAAATAAATGTAAAAAATTTATGTGTGTGAAAGTATCATTTTTCATGTTCTAATCTAAAAGTAAAATGATATTTTATACCGATAATTTATAATTAGATACTTAGACGCTTCACGATTAAATAAAATTATACATAGCGAAAAATTATTTTAAATTTAAGAGACTAAAAAAATTTCAAACTTTACAAAGAAATTGCTCAAAAATTTAGTGACTAAATACATAATTTATTTTTCTTCATTTTATTAGAATAATAATATTAATAAGAAGTACTATTTTGTAAAATTAGTGATTCTAACCTTGATTTTATTCTATGTTGGATCATGGAATGAAAGATGTTAACTAGTGAGAATTTAACTTGTAATTTTTTAAATGTAGAAGATTTAAATGTTAGATAGTGATATTTTAAGTTTTATCATAATTAATTTTTAATAGGACAGTCTTAAGTTGTTTACAAAATAAGTTTTATTTCATATTTAAAATGTTTTAGAAGGATTACAGATGATGGTAAATTTACTATAACTGTGTAATCTTGCACTTAATTTATGTAAAATTTGTCATTGTAGGTAAGTCATGGTAAGATGACAATTTTATTTCAAAGGAGTCGTTTTAAAATATTAAGATCTTACATTTAACAAAGTGAAGTTAACTTCAGAAAGCACGACAGACAACTTCTATGTTTGATTAAAAATAATAAATGTTTAACTTAATTTTACCTGAAGTCGTTAAATCTTAGCACGATTTTAAATGATATTAATTTTTTTCAGAAATTGTAAGACAATGGTACGATTTTTTGTTTACAATCTTTATTAAGTCATGAGCAATTAATACGACTTTAATGATTTTGCTCCTTCAGTTAGGTTGAAGATGCCTTTGTGCTAAGCAATCTTTCAAATCCTGCAATGAATGGCTCTCTGAAATTGAATATAGAATGCATGAAAGAATCAAGGTGAATGGGATTGAAAGAGGATCAGTGTTGTCTAAGATCAATCCACTCGGTCAAACATTTATATTTTAAGAGTCTTTAATTTTCTTACACCAAAACCTAAAATATTATCTTTAAATGTTATGATATTTATTTTTGTTACTATTCGTCCTTTCACTCTTTCACTCGGTCAAACATTTATATTTTAAAATTAAAGTCAATAAAAATTTAAGAAGTTTGTAATTAATATGTAACAAATATAATTATTTATATTTTTATCTTAAATTTATATTTATAAATTTAGAATAAACTTTATATTACTGACAATGATTCAATTAATATTAATTATGTTTTGTCATAATTTTCATCAAATCTAATTATGATTTAAGAATGACCATTTAATTAATTTGTATAGTACATTCAATTGACCTTTTGGATAAACCCAGGAACTTTTTTACTGTATGAAACGTCTAGTCTTATATTAAACGAACCACTATATAATACACATAGAGTGTATACAACACTGCAACGAGGTTTGTGCTTTCTTCATACGAATAAATCAATATAAGTTTTGATTCAGTAAATTAAGGGAATAGAAATGGAAAGCATGGGTATTGAAGTCATGGCAGAACGTAAAGGCTTCGCGATCAAAGAAGTCGTGCCCAATTGTAACAGGCCAAATCTAATTTGTTTTATTTTTTTTCCAAGTACGTTTTTAATTTCTGCAAATTTAATAAGTTTTTTATTTTAATTTCTAGAAATAACTTTAATGTTTCGAAAAGGTTTAAATTTATTCTTGCTTTCTACTATTATTATTATCTACTTAACATGAATTTTAGAGAAAAATAATAATTCAAAATTTTAGAAAGATTATACATAATCGTTTGGAAAGATTAAAACTAAAAAAGTTTATAGTCATCAAAGTTAGAATTTACTCATTTTATAAGATTAAAAATTAGAAATTTTAATGTTTAAAAGCGTCAATGATTTCAAACTCTTATACTTGGGATAAAATTTTAAAAGTCTACAATTTCAAACAATATGTTTTAAAGTTACATATCCAAACAATATATTTAACTATAAAACATTTTAATTTTTCTATAAAAATGAAGTACTATCTGAAAAACTTTCTTCCACCCAACGAAAGAAAAAAACACTAATTTTTAATGATAGAATTAACTATTAGCTTCGCAAGAAAGAAGCCTGGGTTAAAAAGTTGTTCATGTTGCTGCTACACTGCTTATAAATGCTGTGTACTCATTGAAGACTTCTAAATTCGTTTTAGTTACCATGCAGTACCTACAATGAGCCATTGAAGGGTGCACAATTTTTTACTTCATATAACTTTCTGGCAGCATGATCCAATCCAATCACACAGAGGGGAAGAACTTGTTTAGATTGAAAGGAAGTGAATAAAACTCTTCACTCCTTGTATCTGTCTTGAACGAGCTGAATCTGTCCCACCAATGCATGCCTCTGTCTTTACGAGTTTGATTGTCTTTGTTGTGCAATGTGGCATCCAAGAACAGTGCCAATGAACCAGCAACAAATGCTTTTGATGAAAATGGGACATTGATCATGTCGTTGAACTGCCAAAAGAAGATAACTTTAAATTGGTAAGTACTATGAAGTTTGAATAACAACGCAAACTCAGCAGTGAAAAATGAGAGTGAATGAGAAAAGCTGAATACCCATCTGGCATGGGTGTGCACTGGACCATAGTCTCTAAATGCTGTGTACTCATTGAAGTATTGTGGTATGGAGAAGCCCATGAAAATGGAGAACCCTAAGATGAATTTAGTTCTAAAGCTGTTTAAATTGCAAAACTGAAGGAAACTGAGGCCTGCAGAACCTGGGTTGAAGGAAAAAAATTTGATGATGATGATAATAACAAGGACTTAATGAAGGTATGACAGAAAAACCAGATTCATGAGTTGATCATACATACCCACATAGGAAAAGAAAAGGCAATATAAAGCTGCAACTATTGGTGCTGGGATTGAAGCAAACACAGCTCCAAATTTTCCTGTACACTCACAAATACATATAGTACTTACTTATATTGGTTTATCAGGGAGAAAAAACATCGAAATTGCAAGTCTAACTAACCAAGTATGGAGAAAAAGATCATGAATCCAGCTGATATTTGAACAACCCTTCGGCTACCAACTCTTGTCAAAGCTAAGAGTCCAGCATTTTCTCTGGGAAAAAGCCAAGAATGATTCTTATAAGGATTCAGGTATAATATATATTCCTACTGTGAAAATGATACCTCCAGCACATGTAAGTTTGAATAAGAATCTTACACAGAAACTGATGATCCATTCCCTGTTCCAAAGATGCCAGATAATAAAATTCCCACCCCCTAATTCATAAGAAGTAGCAACTAGTGATGATGGACAAACAATAAGAAAAAAGGTACAGTAAAAATCTAGAGCAAACAGAAAACCAAAAAGTCATGATCATGATACATGCTGACATTCATTTTAAAACAAGATTTTATAATTTATGTATTACATAAAGAGAAGCTAACAAATTAGGCCGGGGGAAAATTTGCAATTGATAAACCGTGTTTACCTGCCAACCAACACCACGGCTAAGAACTGAAGGTGGCAATGGAGTTGCACTTGCATACCTTGAAACAGCAATAAAAGCACCGGTTGACTGCAGAAAATCGAAAGGTATGAGAAACCAACAATCATGATGTAAGTACGCAACAAATTGCATAGCATGATTACATTACTTTTCTTTGTATTTTTGCCTATGCCAATTTGGATGAACTGATAACAAATTTCTTGAAGTGAAGCTCCTAATATCTTTGAATATCTACTTATGTTTTTAAAATGTTACAGTCTAGAAGTCATTCATTTGTTAATTGCAATAAGAAAAAATATAAGTAGATTATTGAGAAAATGTGAAGGCATTCCTGTCTCAACTTAAGTTCTCTGAATATTATCAGATTAATGAGTCAAGTGCAACAGATTTGCATACAAAATAATTGCAGTAAAGTAGGCTAATCAAATCAAAACTACAGCCTTCTGGAGAAGGGTCAAAGTTTAAGAATTCCACTGCACTTGTTCAACAGCAACAAATGTAGTTCACATGCATAAAAATAAACGAACCTCTATTAGTGCAACAAATGAAGCAGCCATCGTAGCAAAAGCTTCCCCAGCAGCAAATGTAGGAGCTCCCCATTGGAATGGATATGGGATTTTAATCCTGAATTTTAGATTTTATCAGCAACAAAACTTGTGAGTTAACCAAATTGAATCCATTTTTCCTTCACATTTACCCAAATAACAAAACCTTAAAACAAGTTTCAAGCTTTATCAATCAAGTGAGTCCTCCAAAATATACAGCTAAATGAAGAAGAAGCTGTTTCTGATATTAAAAATCACAAGACCCTTACCAAGGTGCACCACTTATAATGCCAGCACGATCAGTTCTGCAAGTATCCTGAGTTTCCTGTGGTGCATGTTTATATGCTCCACCCACAGTTAGAAGATGAGCATAAATCCACACAATTGCTACTGAGAATATAACTGCAAATCGATCACAGATATGCTTTTGTCCTTTCATCACATGAGGAATGTACTGGACAAAGGAACACCACTACTTTAGAATATAGCATTTAAATTAGAGAAAATAAAGTAAAGCAAGAAGTAACATAATTTCATCTTTGGTGTGTTAAGTACTCAGGGTTATTTTTAAATATGTTCCAAATGATGCAAGGTAATTTAACATCATGACAATTATAGATCACCTGTGAAAATACTAGTAAGATTACAATTTCTGGCAGCCCAATCTCCACACATTTTGCAAGCTACAATTCAAGAAGAAATAATCAAGAAAGTGTAAATCATACCAGTTATATAATTCATAGATTCATAGATGAAGGAAAGAAATAAGAAATAGTTCTTGTTGCAAATATCAGTACCACAGGAAAGCCCAACTCATAAAGTCCAAAGCCTGACAGAGCAACCAGGGGAACTGCAGAGAGAGGGCTTAAGAACCTATAAAAGCAAAACAAATTACTCACCAAAATTATTTGCAGAAAAATAACTTGCAGAATGGTAAAAATCGTATCTATCGGTGTAATTAGAATTAATCATGATCACTAACTGGGAGTTATCAAAAGAAGGAGGGATTAGTACATTTCTAAAAGAATTAGAGCTAGCTGTCCAAACAAGAAAAATAGAAACATCTTTAAAAATATGAAAATATAAGTATTGCATGGATAATCTCAAAAAGTTCAATAAATGTGACTACAAGATGGAAGGAAAAACAATTCAAGGATCTAGAAAGGAACCAACCTCACTACATTGCGCCAAAGTCCACTGAATCCAACAAAAATTTGGAGGGTCGAAGCAACGATAAGAGCGCCCTGCGTCCCACGCATTATCCTCTCAAATCTCTGCATATTTATCACTAATCAGATAAACAAGGATAATGATGACATAGCAAAAAGGGCATAACAGTGTACTGAACCAACCTCCTGAGGATTCAGAATGTCACTGTAGCGACTAGCCAAAATTATTGAAATGGTAGTAGGCACAAAGGTGTAGGATCCTCCAATAACTACAGGTAGACGAGTCCCAAACAGTGTTTGGAACAATGTGTTCACGCCAGCTACAAACAGCAGAGTCTGGATCATTTTTGCTTTTTCTTCCTGTTGAAGCAGAATTGAGAACTTAGTTAGACTTAGCAACCACACAACATCATTCAAAACCATTTACTTTTTACTTTTTTTTTCTTTCTTTCTTGTCAAGACTTACGTTTCCTCCTCCCATCTGAGATACTAGAGAGGTTGGTATTAGAACAGTTGTGCCAAGCATCACCAGATAATGTTGAAAACCAAGGAGAATCGCCTCCGCTTCATTAACATCAAAATTAATCATCACAATGACAATGAACGCAAACAAAAACTAGTTGGTTTTACTGCTCCATACCCCAAGAGACAAAAAGGTTTTAAAAAGTGTTCTTCCAAAATAATAAAATAAAAAGCCTCACCATCGATCTCATTAGCAATGTCCACCCATAAAAAATGAAGAAAAAAAAAGATCAAGTTTTTACAAAATAAAACAAAAGGGGTCAAAGAAGCAGTGAACTCACGCCAAGGAGGAGGACTAGTGATGCAGTACGAAACATTTGGAAGTTGATCTTTCACAGGGTGTGGCTGAAGCTCTTCTGGTTTGGGTGGTGGTGCAACTCCTGCCATGGTACTGCTGGAAAAATTTCACAACCAAAAGAAATAAAAAAAAAGGCTCTAGCAAAGTAACAAACTACACCAGTTAGCAGAAAACCAGAACTTTTTTTTCAGAGACAAACACATGCAAGATAATAAATGCCAATGGTGTGGAAAACAAGATGAACACTTTCCTAGTGTTCTCTCTAGGGAGTGGGGGAAATGCAGGAAAGGACAATGAGCAAGTTCAGGGGTGACAGACACACCTTGTCAGTAACGTTATGCAATGCAGAAAATGCAGGGAGATTTCTTGGCCCAACAAATACAGAATGTGGAAAAAAGCATAACCCTCCTAAAGCAACAACCAAAATCAAATTCCCCTCTCACCAACTGACCATTGCTTTATATTTGTAATGATATATTCCAATATTCTAATCTCAGTCTTAAAAAATTATTATTACTACTGTTAGTGTTTCCATTTAGCAAGAAGTGATCAAGTTTTGGAAAAAGCATATGAAGCTTCCACCACCTTAACCCTTAATAACCCCTGATTTAATTTTGTATTTATTGTTTGACCATAGCTATTAATATTTTTTCAAAACTTTAACTAATTAATCAGAAACTCCTAAAAACAGTCTATCTCACGCGCTTCAGCTTATAATATAACCTTTTTAATAAGATGTTACTACTAGCATTAAAAACAAACTTGTATCATTTCATTCAATGAACTGGTGCCAGTTCAGGAAGGAAAAGCTCAATAAAACACGGTGAACATGTATATTTTTGTACTTAGACTGTTATAACAATTTTTTATACGTTATATTTTTTTTTTCATTAAATAAATCACATAAGAAAGTTTCCCATTTGACCATACTTTTGCTTCTCTCAGCCAATTGTACCATAGTTCTGACTAGTGACGCAAATGATAAAACGCATTGTCTTTTTCCTTGACCCAGAATTTGAAACTTAAAATTACTATTACCCTTTTGAACAGAGTCATGGAAATTTTGAATTTTTATGAAAAGCAACTGATGATTAACAGTTAATTTTAACTTCTAAATGTAGATAAAAAAAAGGTGAAATGCTTTCTATAAAAATGAACTGGAAGGGGCAGACTGAATGTAAATTATGACTTTTCATGGAGGTTGCAGGTTTTTGTGCAACCGTTTAGTCCATTAATTTTTAGCATATTGCCAGATATTGGCACAGACCTCTCCGACATGTCTCCCTCTTTTGCTTGTTCATTGATGGTTTTTCATGTCACTACTTGCCTGAGTTGTCATCATTGGATGCTTTTCCTTCTTCTGTTCAATTAGGAAGTCCTTTCTATTGTGACAGTGATCACACAGAAAATGCATCTGTGCCAACAAAAATGTACACAAAGTATAAAATCAGTGTCATTCCAACTTCAATATTTGTCTCTCTTATCAAATCTAAACACTATCAAGAACATTGATGGTACTTTAAGTTTAATTTTGTCAGATCATGAGAAATTGTTTTTGTTTATCTGTTTCTAATTTGTTGATTAGCTTGTATCTTTTCTCTTCAATTTTCTTAGAAAATGTCATCCTATTAAAGAAGGTTTTTCTAGATAATAATCAGAATTTCTATTTGTGCTTCCATATATTCAACTTTTTATGCATATCTATTTGTGGAGAGAACTTAGTACAAATTCTCCACCTTGGAATGAATATAGGGATTTGGATTTTATTTTTGCATGATCACGGGAACAGGCATATATCCTAAGTTACCAGGATCACTGAATGAACATTGATAGTACAGAGTTTTCCAATGAGGAATAAATTCTGGCATCTTTCTATGTTAATAGCAATGGTTGCTTTTCATTTATTTTGAAATTTCACTTTGCTTAAAAAATATACATCCAAAGTTAATGAGTGATTTTTGTTTACTGAAGTACTTTTTTATTTTTTTTAAATTTCTATACTTTTAAAATATATAATATACACTTTTGGTGCATGAATTATATCATTTTTATAATATTGGTAACAGTTTGCGCGAATGGAGTATTCAATGTGCCACTTCATTGCTACATTTTCAGTAACTTTGAAACTTGAACTGTGAATTTATGTATTGAATAAAAGAAAATAACACCATAGTTGAAATTTGTAGAACATATTATTGTCTTGAAATAAGTAGTGGTTTCTTTTATATTATATTTTATTAGAAAGTTATAAACAGTTTCTTTCACAAGTTCATGTGCTGTATGAGATTGAAGTCAAAGACTTCCAGTTCTATAATTAATGGGTTGACTCGGTTTCTTCTAGTATTCATAAAAGTCTGAGTTGTTGCTATAATTTAAATCAATTAACACTACAAGAAGATTTAATTAGGCTCCAACCCCAAGTGAGTGTGTTAAGATATTAAGAAAATAACTAAAATACTTTCTTTTGCTCTTAGTTTTCTTTTTCTTCCAAGTTTTATTGGGTTTCTTGTAAATAAAAATATAATATTTTTTCTCAATTTTAATAAAATGTTTATAAATTCTTTTATTTCAAATTTAAATTAGGTAAATAGTAAAAGTATAAATGAGAGAAAAGTAATTAATATCATGGTGAACTTCAAAAATAACATTGAAGTCCAAGTTAAATTATTTTAAAAATAAAATACTTAAAGAAATGAAAAATAATAATATTTAATTAAAATGAACTCAATTATAAAAAATAAACTATTTTTTTATTAAAAGGATGTTTCTTAGTTTAATTTTAAAAAAAATAATTTACTAAAATGAATAGGTTCGTGCACTACTTTAAGTAGTTGAAAAAAATATATCCATGTTTACATTATTATCCATTACACATTTTTTAACTCAACAGTATTTTTAGTAAATTTTTAAATATGATAAGCAGAATTAAATATAAATAGTGAAACTTGTTTTTTCAATATTAAAAGTGTATCTAGATATAGATTAATATATATATATATATATATATATATATATATATATATATATATATATATATATATATATTATACTTTAAAAAACTGAAAACACCTTTTACGATTTTTATTTTATTTTTTTGTTTATAAAAGGTGTCTTTCATTTATAGTTTGTTGCTTCTATGTTAAGATATGATATTTTGATATAATTTGTTTATAAGTTGATGACTATACATTGCTAAGGAACAAATCCATATATACGAATTTAGTTGAAGGAAATAAAACTATTTTGTTAGACCAATATTTAGTAGTTATAATAATTATTTTAAAAAATATATTTATTGAAATGTTATTTTTAATTTAATTTTAGACTTTAAAATATAGTTTAGTAACTATAATATTAGATAAATAAAGTAGTTTAATTAGTTTTTAATATAAAAGTATATATTTTTTAAAAATTTAGTCTTTATAGAGATATAATTCTTATTATAAATGAAATATTATATATTTTGTAACATAATTCAAACAATGTAACATTTTTTCTTCAAACATACGTATTTAACCTTAAAAGTTTTGTTAAGATATTTTTTTATCATTCTATCAAAACCTAACTTTGAGAAATCAACTTTGATACTATTAAAATTTGACAAATATATCATATTATGCAAGTAATAAAATTGGAAAATAATTTCTTTTCCCAAAATTTGGGTTTATTTAAATAATACGCATTTTCATTCATTAAGAAAAAAGAAACATAGTGACATTGATTCATTAAAGTTAAAGTTCAAATTTAATTCTAACATCAAAATGCATAAGAAAATCTAATTATAACATCAAAGTGCATGAGAAAATTCAATTCTAACAACCAATGTTACTTCACAAGCGAATGATCACGATTGGATTTCATAAATTTCATAAACCTCATTGCATCATACTTTCTCACTCCAACAACATATTTCTTATACAATTTCAATGTTCACACTATAAGTCGTTTAAACCTTTAGAACCAAAGATGTAACATCACATAATCTCATACTTGATAATTCATAGTTGATATATATGTTTTAAACTCAAATTTCAACTACAAACTCATAAATATAACTCGAAATCTTCTAATTTATTATTCTATCTCTTTCTTCATTGGCACTAAATCAGACGACATTCCTTCATCTGCTCCCGTATAACGAATTATAAGATCATCGCACATACACAAACACAAACAAGTAGGGTGAGCTAACATGCAACACATCATTTATAAAACATGCATAATTACTTTGATACACTCAACAAACATCATATAGTAATTATGTCAGACACCCTCATACCATCATACAACAATCGCACCATAGATTACTCATCCCATCATACCACAATTCCTGATAGACACTCATCCCACAATACCCAATAAACACTCATCCCACAATACTCAATAGACACTCATTCCATAATACCCAATAGACACTCATTCCACAATACTCAATAGACACTCATTCAGATGATACGTTGATGAGCGGTCACAGGAGGTTATGCACTTGTGATGACTTTTACTTCTTCTTACAAATACACTTCCAAAATACTCCATACCATCCACAAGGTTAGTCCTCAACACTATGTCCAAAACCGAAACATAGACCAGGACCTCCTACCCCTCTCACCACATAATTCATCCTTCTCTACTTAAGACTGGATGATTATTAGAGTATCAGGATAACCTCCAACAACAGGACCCTCAACATCAACATATACACTAATACCATATCATTACAGAATCTCTCCACAAGACTCATACCATGCTCATATTCCTCAACTCATATTATACCATTACAAAATCTCCCCATAATACTCATATCATGTTCAGATGCATAAATTCAAATCCAATATAATAAAAATACAATCATCAAAAAAATCATACAAAATGAATATATCACAAAATAAATTAACAATACTAAAATATCATTATAAATGGTCACCGGAGAAGAATCAAATGTTTGACGAATCAAACTCACCATAAACGCTAGTACATATGACTAGTCACAACTTACCAGATTTGACCAGGGCTGCTCTATGATCAGGGATGTACCAACTCCGGTTTTTAAGATTCCTCTATCCTACCATCACAATTATGACCTTAATATAAACGTTCTGGGGAACTAAGGAGTTGAATCTGGCATAGCCGGTTAGACATCTTCTTATCCTTGTAGAAAGATGAATCCATCACATATTTTATATCAATTGAGTATATTGCATAATAGTTTAACAATACTTAATCTGTTCAATAGGATTTAAGTTAAAAACCTATCGAGTAGACTTCCAGGAAAGAGAAGTGTGTCACCATGGACAACTTAAGTACCAAGTCTTTCCTTAGCCAAACTGTTCCTCAACTAGTTTTTAACAAATTTCTTATTTACAGATTCAAAACAACAACATATAATATTAACACAGAAACTCAATACAACAAACACCTATGTTTTTCAATAACAATATTCACACAAAATT